GGGACGAGAAAGGGGGATTCTAGGTTCATTCTCCCTCCAGGCTCTGCCTTCAGGGTCCTTGAGGTGCCTGGCCCTTCCTGTTACATCTTTTTAGATTTGAACTCAGGTTGGGTATGGCCATATGGAGCTTCTCAGGAGAGGGGGAGCCCTTCTGGCCTATTGTTTGCTTGGTCTCCCTAATGACTTGGCTGAATGGGGGCTCCTGGTAGTAAGTCTTCCTGAGATGTCTAAGATGCCCTGCAGCCCTGGGAAATCACCCACCCATGAGGCAGGTGGGAAGGCAGGGCAGGTGGGGTCAAGGAGGAAGGCAGATAAGAAGGCTAGGAGAACAGCAGTCTGTGTTTTGGTCATGAGGGCTGGACCTTCTGGTTTGGCCATGTGAGTTAGGAGTAGGGAGTATTAGCACTCCTGTCCTGACCCATTGTCCAGCAGGCACATGCAGGGAACTGTGGTTTTCTACCGTAAGGCAGATGTGGCTGTGAGAGATGACTGTGGACTACAGAACTGGTGTTGAGAACCATTGAAATTGGGCAGCTAGGAGTCCAGTAGAGAGAGTAATACCTTAGTACCCTCTTACCTTGACAACAAGATGCATGGTGCCTGAAACCTCCCCAGCATCCTCTCTGCTTCTATAGATTCTTCCAGAAACATTTCTAATCTCCATGAAATCTCCCAAAGGTCTATGTAGCCACATAAAATGCTTAATACCTGGCTCTGCATAAAGAGGTCCCTGACTTAGGGTACTTGGCCATTCCTGGTGGAAATATCTACACTATGGCTATCAATGTGAAGTCAATCAGAATATTTGAGATGTTGACATCACTGAGACTTGTGAGCTAGCACCAGCACCCTGCCAATAGGGGCCCTTCCAGCAAAGCCATCCTCCTACTCCACTCAGTCCCATGTTAATTTCCACACATGACTAGTATCTTGGCCTCCCTTTGCAGCCTTCTGTTCTCACTTCATCTCTCTCAGCTCTGCTGCCTCACAGGTTTAACTTTTCCCATGTTGGTAGGTTTTCCTACCTCTCTACAGTCATGGGCTCAGGATTGCACTTGTCACCATGTACATTTCCACTTGTGTTGGCAATCACTCCTTTATCCACCTGGGCAGTTACTTACCAGAGGGAGGTGACTGGGAGTTTGTGGGCTAGAGTGGGGTAGGGGGCTGTGTGCAGGTGGATAAGGGGTTTTGATATTTATTAGACCTTGACTCTACATCCCTAGCTCTCTTAGGTGGACTGGATCTTGGGTCACTAAGGAACCCTGTACTATGGAACTGCCTTCATCAGTTCTCATGATGTGACAATGATGGCCTCAATTCCTGATATTAAGAGGGTTACACTTCAGATATTCATCATTGGGTACCTGGGAAAACCAACCCATGATGGCAAGAACTAGGTGCATGGGATTTTGAGGAAAGAGGCAAAGTGGGTAGTGTGGGTAGTCCCAATCTGGGATCGTAGGCTCCAATCTGCCTTTTCTGTCCATCCCAGGTGCCTGTGGATGAGGAGTATTTTTTAAGCCTTGGGCCCAATGCTGCAGTTGGTGGAGAAGCTGGCTGTCTTGGAGAGAACTTTTTTTTCAGTACCAGGAATTGAACTCAGTGCTCTCCACTTGCTAGGCAAGTACTTATTCTACTGAGCTATCTCCCTGGCCCTGGCTGTCTTAGAAAAGGTCTCTGAGATTGGAAATGAAAGCCTGGATAAATTCAGTCCAGCAAACTGAGTTTATGAGTCTAAGTCAGAAGAGAAAATGAGAAACTCCATAGTGCAGAGTCTGTTCCTGGGAAGGGCTGGGCCAGCAGCGGGGCTGGGGTACCAGAGGTAAGTTAAGAAAGTCCTGAAATACCAGGAAAAGAAAGAAGAGGACTAGGGAGCTCAGAGATGGTTTTTCAGTGAGGACTAAGTGACATGTTTCTTGATAGTCCTTAGTGATCACTACATACATGACTGAAGTTGGAAGAGGATGAACTGGTTTCCACGGCAAGTAGGATCTATAGGGGACCCCTGTGGAGCAGCCTAAGCCTGCAAGGACATGACTTCTACATCTCAAAAAGGTATTGGGTGGCCAGGGACAGTGCTGATGTGTTTCACCATCACACTGAATCTGGGTGCTCCTTCAGGGGGCGCTTGGTACTGACCTTAGTTTATGTCCCAGTCTCATTTCCTACTGAGATCACAACTTGCCTCCCTTTGCCAGAAGAAGGCTTCAAAGGATCAGATAGCTTCAGTGTAAGGGGTGGCGTCTAGCATAATACCCTATTCACTTTTAGAAGTAAAAGATATTGTGGCAGAGTTCAATTTAGTTTTACTCCTGCCTGAAGTATTTACATAGAAGTAGCCTTGCCTAAAATACCCCATTGCTCATTCCTTCCCCTGCCCTGCCAGAACTTCACAAACATACAGAAGATAAGGAGGAGACAGGACCCATTTAGGCTAATAAGAGATGGACTGTTTGCCCATGCTTAGCCATAAATCCCCCTGCCTGAGACCTCACACCTATAGGATATAGGGGGCACCACATTCCTCCCCAGTTGCCATAGCAACAAAGAAACTATGAAAGCAAGTAGGGAACAAAGAACTGGGCCTTTTGTATTTTCCCAGATGGGAAGGGGAGCGCATGGGTCACTGGCTAATTAATAAAGGTTCTGTGGTTCCTTTTCATTTGGTCTCCCGTGGGCAATATATCCAATCCTGGCCATTACATCAGTTTTTGGGCAAGAGTCATCACTGGACAAGAACAGTTAATAAAAACCATTCTTTTCTCTGCTTTTTTTTTTTTTTTTTTGGTGGAACTGGGGTTTGAACTCAGGCCCTTGCACTTGCCAGGAAAGTGCTTATTCTACTGAGCCATCTCCCTGGCCTCTTTTCTGCATTTTAATAATTGCCTTCAGCCTAAGCCAGTCCCTTTCTTTTAATGAGAAGTTATGTGATTTACCCAGCATAGTCTGATACCATGATT